GAACCCCCAAAACCCTATTCTACGTAATGATAAAGGCACCTACATTAACGCAATTCAGGGTATTGCTTGAGGATCCGGCACCTGTCGGCAGTCATGGCTTAAACCTTAAACCCCTGAACAGGTTCTGATTCGCGATGTCGTGGACATCAGTGATTACTGTTCAGGCTTTTAGGACGGCAGGCTTCAACTTGATTCCGGGATTTGATGAGAACTAGGGTCAGGGTTGGTTTAGGGTTTCTGGAATCATGCCTGTGCGTTGCCTTTGGGCAGAATGGAACGAAGGAATCCTGTGCGACAGCCGAAAGTGTAAAACTCCCCGAGCCACTGCGCCCAACTGACAGGTGCAAGATTCATCAAGAGTTCTAGTCCAGACCTCAAACGCATGTCCCGCCCTAAACTCCGAACCCTGAAGCCCTGCGGGAGGCATGGTTGTGAGATACGCAAGAATGGCGAACTGAACTGACTTGAGGCAACAGGAGCTTAGGCTTTGATGGATAAACACGATAAGAGCATGGCCTCAAAGCAACTCCTTGCACGACCCTGCTCCAAAGTTCAACAAAGGTCATGATCTTAGGAGGTCTGGTCCTTTCCAAACAAAAACATAGCCAGAAACAAACACTTGGATCCGGAGGAATGAAGCTGCAAATAAGGAACCTACTGTAAGGAATAGATAGCTGTTGCATTTTTTCATCCCCATACACTACTTTCGATACCGGCCCGCATAAATTAAAGCGAGAGTGTCAAGTGCCAACATGAATTGCGCAATACGCATACGGGGGCCTGTGATTTCGAGTGAGCTTGGGTAAACTATGCTAAAGTGATAAGGGTCGTGAACATCAGGGGCATGAAACAAAGCCGAAATGCCTAAAGCCATGAAGCCCAAAGCCCCGAAACCTTACATCACAACACCTTCACATCCTCCAAATCCTCCAAACACTCAAAACACTGTCACCAAAAAACTCCTGGTGGCCTTCTGGTTCACTGGCAACGAATGCCCTTGCTTCAAGGCCTTCTTGTCCTCCAAAGTTCGCACCATTCATTGAGGGCTTTCTGTATCCAAAAAGTCTAGATGCCGTTGGCCAGTATCAGTAACTGACACATCAGCAACAGAACCAAAACCAGCAGCAGCGGCAACGCGAGCACTATCATCACTACCCTCCCCCCCCACCAGCTGTTCATCCGGGCAGGCTTCACCAGATACGACTGCTCTGACCGACGTTGTGACGCAGCCACGCTCACGCACCTCTGGCGATCTGGACGACGATGGTTCTTGTTTGTGCTATGAAACAACAGATGTGTGTGGGTGCGCAACTTTATGAACCAATAAACAGCAAAGTAAAGCATCAAGAGATGTTCCTGTAAGAGTTGGAGGCGTGCACATAACACGCCAACTTGCATAGAAATATGGCAAAGCAACGCCACCAGTGTAAAAACAAACACTGATATTAAAATGGCGAACTGTAGTTGGATCCCGAAGGCGTGACGAGAAGTACCCAGACCATGTGCAGGGGAACCAGCACATGCAGACGAGGGCAGTCACCTATACGACTGCAAACACAGCCTGTACGGTGGAAGATTACATGCGCTTCTCAACTCCCTAAGTATAGAAACTGAACGCTGTAGATGCTGAGCGCTATCGGGACAGCCAGAAGGAACCAGCACTCTTTCCCTTCGGCCCGAAACCCGGCACTCGCCTGCATCCTTCACCCTCCTGCAGTCGGAAAACTTGGCTAATACTCAGCCTCGAAACCGACATCCCAACTACTACAAAACCCTGAACCCTAAACCCTGAAACTCCATGCCCACGCTCCCCTGAAATCCGGTCCGTTGAATCGAGCTCATGCTTCCAGGAGTCGTAGTCTCTTGAAACATCGGGCCCCTGGCAAAAAACTTCAGAGGTTCTGGGCTTCGGAGGTATTGAGGGTTAGGGGTTAGGGGGTTAGGGTTCACAGTTTAGGGGCTTAGAATGCAGGGTCTGGGGTTTAGGACAAAAAAATAAATGAAGGGTTAAGGGTTCAGGGTTTGCGGGTTTATTGGTCCAGGGTATGGGGGCTTTGAGTGGTAGGATTAGCGTTAAAATGTAGGCGTGTAGGGTACTAAGGCTTAGGGGCGTCCTGTTCATGCTGCGGTCGTCTTTCATTCTCACTCTTCATGTCCGGACTAAGCTGAATGAGGAGGGAGCCCTAGTATTGGCCAAACCTCAGCACCGACAGCCCACATCGTTTCAGTGATGACATCATGCTGAAGAAGGTTTGTGGATTCGGCTTAGGGGGTCAGGCTTCTTGGCAGCCCGAATCCGAATTCCTAAGGCCAGCCCTCAACCGGAGCCCCGACCTCCGAAACGCCCACTATTTATGGGGCGCAGATAATTGTAACAGGGCTATTATATATATATATATA